GGCCTGCATCTACTATGGGACTGAGCAAGGTCTGTGTTCTGTTTGGATTGAGAAGCACTATGTTCAGTGTTTGGTTCTTGTAGGCTGATATGAGAGGCTAGTTTCCAGGTTTGTGGGGCTGGTGTTGATATGTTACTGTTTCATTTCCATGTTTTTGTCTTGTTCACCAGTATCGTGTTTCTTGGTTTGTGGTTTTGGTTACCTGAGGTCTTGACTCCGGGTTTGTGGTTTTGGTTAGCTGGCGTTGAGTTTCCCGGTATGCGACTTTGGTTAACTAACATCTTGCTTCTGGGTTTGAGGTCTTGGTTACCTGGAACCTGAATGAGTTACACTTTTATTAGGTTTTTAGTGTTTTCGTGTTCTTGTATTTCAGCCTCACGCACAACATTTGCAGTAGGGCATCAAAAAAGGACATAACGCAGAAAATAGTGGTAAAAATGATGAGAGAGTTTCCAATTGAGCTTCTGAGAATGCAGTTCAAGTTTCTGAATTCCTCAGATTCGCTTTCACTGCTTTGCCGCTGTCATATTGTGCTGCCCCAAGAAGAAAAACGTCATTGTCATGTAGACAAAGCATCTGAAACCATAAGCTGGGCTCCATGAAATGGAAATGATGGAAATCAAGTCAGTGCCAAGTGCTCCTTGCCCATCCCCAGCTATTCAGGCGAGACCAGATACCTCAGTCCCCTTCCAGAGTATCAAGGATCTTCTCAATATCAGTAACTGAACCTGACTGGTCAATTTTAACAAAATCAAAGGATTCATTACAGTACAATTGCATTAAATGCAGGAACCATTTCCAATCAACAGATTACATTCATCGCAATGGACATGCATGCACATGCTCATAATCACACACCACGGGCAATGGAGAGACACCAATTAGTCTAACTGCATGTCTCTGGAATATCCAAGGAAACCCATGCAAGGTGGAGAGAGGTTGGATCCCTACCCACAGGAGCCACTATGAAACATCAATTTCATGTTTATCATACAATAACATTAAGCTGTATTACTTCATGCCTTAAACAGCACAAACCCCGAATGGCACCGTGGTTTAGATGGTTAAAGCGCCTGTCTCGTAAACAGGAGATCCTGGGTTCAAGTCCCAGTGGTGCCTTTAATGAATTTCTCCTGGCTGAAATAAGTATATTATCTATTAATGTTAAAAAAAGCACTTGGTTGAAGGGATTGTGGCTTAACAGGCTAGGCTGCCCTGTTAGCAATCAGAAGGTTATCAGTTCAAATCCAAAGCTCACTGGAATGACTTCACTACTGTAGGGCTCTCCAAGTTTGGACCTTGATTCCAAATCCAGTCCTTGTTTTATATTCTTCCAGGTAGCCAGTTTAATAATTACTGATTCTGATTGGCCACAAAGGCTTTACACCAGTGGTCTGTACTACGAATCGGGGTTACTGGCCTATTGGGGTAACTTCTCGGATTTGAGGTACCACAGTTTAAATGGACTTCATATTCGTTCACTTACATTTCGCCCAGGCTACCTTAAATCCGACAAATTTCCCCAATAAGCCAGTAACCCTGCTTCGTAGTACAGCTAGCCACAGCTCACAGGTGAAGGAGGGCTGGAAAGTCAGCAGTGCTAGAACCATGAGGACTGTGATTTGAATAGCCCTGCACTACTGGGCTCTTAAGCAAAGCCTGTAACCCTGAATTGTTCCAGAGTCTACCTGACCCTGCTCTCCTGAAAAAAATGTACATTGTTTTAGATAAATATGTCTGCTAAACAATAATCAATATATAAATATATAATATTGTATTACATATATAAAAAAGCGAAAATGTGGACTGTTTGGGTCTCCGAGGATCGGGTTGGGAAAAACTTTCTTAGACAGAGAGGCCACACCTTCCTCCAATTCATGGTCCAATCAGCTAAGGGACTTATTTTTCATCATGGTGCAGGAGATACAGGGAGTAGGAGGCCCGCTGGCAAGGCGGCGGTGCCAAAAGAAGATTAGCTGAGGTTGCCTGGCTGACTAAAGCCCTCCCTTCTTTGATTCCCCCACAAGAGAACCTCATCCATCACAATCACTGAACGACACTCATTCCCTGGGTCTGAACCTCAACCCAAGATCTAGGGCTCAGAATAAACACTTTTATTGGCTGAGACATATGCGGTCCCATCCGGCACATACAGCAGTGAATTGCAGTGCGGAATTTTTAATTGTCTGTTGTGTTTGTGCTGGAAAAAGGGGTCTCTTCACATTTAATGGGAATAGCTGTGTTTTCTATTGTTTTTGCAAATTGGTACTGTAAGTGTACTTAGCTGAAAAAGCTTCTAAATTGGAACCAGAAAGTAACAAAAAAACTGTATTATTATTCATCGATTCATCTTTCATACAACTTGTCTATACAGAGTCACGGGGTCCAGAGCCTGGCAATTTTATTATTATTATTATTGTTGTTGTTGATGTTACTACTACTACTACTACTACTACTACAAATAATAATAATAATTATTATTATTATTAGAGTAATTTCGACATTTCCCTGGCTGGCATGTGCTGAACGCGGACCACGGCAGCCCCACACTCCCTCTCCTCCATGACGCCTTCCAGCCATTTCCACACCTCCGTGATTAATCGCTCTTCCTTCACTGGCTGAAACCGGTTAAATGGCAGCTCACGGCTTTAGACCTGTATCAGTGGCCAAGTACTTCAGATAAACCCCGTTAAGCCCGATAACAGATGTGCGGCTGCCCCCACCCCCCCATGACACCCCTTATGAAAAAAAAAAAAGAAAGAAAAACTTTCATAACCTGCTATAGCTAAATAAAGATCCTTAGCGATGACCTTCGGCCCGGCCGTCCTTTAAATTAAATTTGGAGGAATATTCCTGAGGATACAATCGGGGTCAGGGTCCACCTCTTTGGAGACAAAGGCAGAACAGGGTCACGTTGGCAGCCGGAAGCCATGCCAGGAAGCCTAGGGAGGGACACAGCCCAAAGGGACAGCACTCCATAGTAGGGCACACACACCCACTTGAATCTATACCAAGTCACCCAACGGGGTACGTTTGTAAACGCAACATGCAGACTCCCAATGCATACAGAGTTGGGGGGGCAGGACACACATATCCAACCCTGTAGGCGTGAGATTACAGAGCCACCCACTAAGCCGCCATGCTGGCCAAATTAACAAGCCCCTCTGACCGTTTCTGGACATAACGGCTCTCATACTGCGGAGCTCGGCACCCCATTCTCAGTTTGCTTTAATCTTTTATGAGTCTCACACCACTATTCCCGCATGCATCCTGATGAATCATTGCTTATCCCACGAGTTGCCTTCACTGATTACTTTGAGCAGTTTGATCTTCAAGGCTTAATTTTCTTTCCGTGTATAAGTTTTAGAGGGGGAAAGCGGGGGGGGATGGTGGCTTGCGTGTCTCTGCAGGTCAGGAGTCTGTGCCTGTGTTCGGATTGGCACCAGCTCGAATCCCATGGCCAGGGGAGTAAGCCGTATCATTGCAGGGCCTTTGAGCAAATGGCAGACCATGACCCCAGGCCTTGCTTTTGCCCCCGTGTGTGTGTGTGTGTGTGTGTGTGTGTGCCTCACAGGAGAGCATGATGGGAAAAACATGAAAATTTCCTATGTACCTGTACAATGCCCGATAAAGTGTTATACATTATTAACTGAAATAAAATGTTGTTATTCACAACATACTAACAAAAACCTTTATTTACACTATAAACAAGTAACCCACTTCAAGCTAAATTATACTTCATTATTGAACGTTTTCTCCTATTTGGCATACTTTTTCACATCCAAGGAGGCCATCGTTTTGCGCCAAATTCAAACGTAAACAACAAAAAAGTCCATTAGCACTAAATAATGCTGGTAGTCACTGGAAATAAGAACCGGCTGTTTTGGAATATTTACCAAGTGTCCTCTGGTAAAGGCCCAATTTACTCTCTACGGCTGATCTGCTATGGATGCAAAAGCTGCTCACTTTTCACCATCAATGAAGCTAATTACAAACTGACTTATTTGTTTAGGAAGGTTTCCATTCTTTCTGTAATATTGCCGCTCTCCAAGTCATTTCTTTGAACCTGAAAAAGTGCGTACTGCATCAGAATGGGGTGGAAATGTGAACCAGGTTTAAGAGTTTCAGTGTTGCCGTTACTGAGGATTATTACTGTGGTCGGACCAACATCCTGCACAGCTCATTAACATTAATGTATGAAAATCGCAGCGCTTATGGCAACACTAAAATAATCCACTTTACACCAAAATGTGATAGCTACCTGCCACATAGCCTTTTGAATACAGCTAGGTGTACAAAAGTGACCCATGTTTACTTTGGAATTAGTTCCAGACATAACTATTCTGTAAGGACACATTGTTCTAATTGTGTGGTTTACAGCTCTCCGTAATAATTTATGTTAAATGTAACTTAGCAACGCAATCAGCTCAGCGATTCATTTAACGCCATACACCGGCAATCACGCCCGGTTTGCCTTGCATATCGGCACATCGTTCCTGACAGGCACGACACAATAGTCAGCCGTCTATCAAGCATGATTAATGAAACTTTCCAGTTTCACTCATCGCATCGTCTTTGCTTTATTTTCAGTTAAAATGAAAATCTGGCACAAACAAGGTTATAAAGTTCCTCAGGATATCTTTGTTGCAATGGTGCCTATCCACAAACTTTTGTGTGAAAAGTGCATAGTTAACAGTAAAAATAGATGATATGAATGATGACGTGACAACATGCAGAAGATTTTGGAATCCTAATTGAATACTATATGATGATGATAAGCATTATTATTCTTAACAACAACAACAAAAACAACAATTATAATAATAATAATGATAATTTTAAACTGGAAACACTGAAATGCAGTTACTCTGATATAGATTGCCTGCAGCTATTTCCATTGTTGACAAATGTATTTTTAACAGTTAAATTCTTTACTGGTGATGTTAACTCACAAATACCCAGAATTTAATCTCTCAAGTGGTATTTGCTTGTCATGCTAAATAATGTGTGTGTGTATATATATATATATACTCAACCCAATCTTAACCATAAGTAACAAGACTTTTGCCATGTTAAGTTTTTTTATAACAGTCACAGATTTTTACACAATTAAGTTTCCCCACGTGTGGACTGAAAAATGATCCCCACAAGGTCAAAATAACAGGTTTCTGTCATTTGGTCCCGACAATGTAATACATACATGGCCACACACACACATACACACACACACACGCGCGTAAAAGCAGCTTTAGTAGTTCGGCTAGGAGCCTTGATATATTTATAGGCTACTACACAATGACTCCTTTGGGTATGACTTCAATTGAGAGCCGCTTGGATCAATGATTCATTGATGCACACATATCCGTATGTTCTGCTGACTGCACAGCCTACCTGAAAGGCGCCTCTGTATGATACGGATCTCTGAAACTGAGAGATTCTGATCAGCCCTTAAACAGGTAATAGTCAGATGCTGAGAATCCATTACAGGGTTTTTCACGCGCACTCATTGTTTGCTTGACGTTTATCCCGCGGCTTTGATCGAAAAAGTCCTGTTTGTCAGATGGAATCCGATGTTTCTCCAAACAGCAATTGCACTCTCCCTACTCCTGAGTGAGTCATTTTTCTCTGTGCAAGAGAAGGTGTCAGGGTTACAAATGACATTCTGTGCATTTAATATAGTCTGAAACTTTGCAGTCTCAGGTAAATCAACCCCCCCCCTCACAATTCCCAGAACTCCTGTTTACTAATGGATGAAGAATCTGCCTGGTAAAGGGTGCCATTAAGTGCAGCTAAAACCAGCCCGTAACAAACACTTGCTGAAATATTAATGCTTTTTTCTCTCTCTTTCCTCGCAAGTTCCGGTTTTAGTTCATTTTTACAGCATAACTGCAGCAGGACTCCCATGACAACTGGGCCCTGTTGTAATCATATTAAACCACTTGATTTGCGTTATGCGTTACATCAAGACCCGTTAATTACACTCTTTGTTATATTAATTCGATTAATCATACCGAAAGCATATTAAACAAACATAATAATATCAGATAAAATACTCATTTTGCGCACATTTTTAGAACGTATGATGTGCAATGACGACGTAAACAGCCCATTATTATATGCACTATATATTTTACCGTCGTTCTGAGGAGTCTTTATAATCCCAGTGTAGCTGGGAAGAGATCCCACCGTACAGACTCTGCTCTCTTATTCATTAGCCTGCATCATCCAGGGTTCTTTATAATAGATGAGATATTGTTGGCATATCACACAGCCTCCTATGAAAGCTACCTTTGTTGTCATTCCCGAAGCACATACTGTACTCCTTTACAAAGCCAATGTCAACCGTTCAAAAGGCCCGCTTTTCAACAGATAGCTACATCCCTACCCCACCTTGCCCTCTAGAACAGATATCGCTCCAATCCCCAGTGCTGGGCTTTTTTTTTGCCCCCATACTTTCACTTCTCCTCTCACTTCACCCTTAAATGCAGCAGAAAGAAGGTGGATTTGCGCTGGTAGCTTTATTTGAGGCGGCCTCGGTGCTGGAAGCTGGTTCACCGTGGATGTCTGACTCGCCACGTAATGGCTCCGTGTGGCATTTTCGCGCACGCAAGATAGGGTAGCCCTGACGAAGAGCCCTGAGATTTGCCGTCAGGACAGATTAACTTTATCTTCAGATGAAGAGAGGACATTGCTGAGGAAAGAAGCCGTCATCGCCCACTTGGTGAGTTCGGGAGGTATGCGTGGAATCCCCCTTTTAGAAGTGCGCCTTGAAATCAGCCAGGCCCATTGCTTGCTGCTCTATTAAAAGAATGTAAGTTTGTTGCATTATTAAATATTCCAATACAAGGCAATTGTCATAATAATTCCATAGCTACATAAATGAAAGAACGTAAATACATAAATAAAACTTACTATAGTAAAGCCAGGATTTATGATGTAGAGCCGTAAAAGCGCTGGGATTGTATCAGGAGCCATGTAGTAATGAAGTCCTCTCTACATCGATCATCCCAGAGGCCTTTCTCGCCATTAGGTGGGAGGCTAATGTATGAAAATGTCCGAAGCTTTTCTAGAACATTAATTATTTACAGTTCCATGAGAACTCCATTATAAAAATGGTTCATCACACTGGGCTCACTCTTTCCAGCAAACACACACACATACTCGTATAAAATCAGGACCCAACGGCCTTTTCTGTCCGTAAAATTACATCACAAGGCCGTTGTGTCACTTTCGTTGCGCTGTAGCACGGTAGCCAAGCCAGGCTGCTAGGAGGACTCGCGCTTGTGGTCTGAGGTCATAAGCAAACAATGGACTCTCTGATACGTTACTTTCAGGTATATTACTTCTGAAATTTTCCCAGAGAAAGACAAACATGTAAGTCAATGGGAGGTATTGCTTACGACTCTTAAATATGTGCGAAACAGCATTTGGCATATATCAGGGAACTACGCTAGGACCCAGAGGATTTGTGGCTTTCAGTCCGGTGCGAGACCCTGATTAGGCGCCCCAGGAAGGAAAAAAGAACTTCAATCACTTGAATAAACATGCAGTTGCATTTATAGTTATTGCATAAAATAGAAGACATGTAAGTGACCTTTGTCACATGTTCAAATCTCCAGGCAGAGGTCGAGTCATTTAGCCACTAATGTTTAATAGCATATTGGGAGTTTTCTGCATCAAAACTGAAAATGTTACAATGTAGGTAGATGTAACAAAAACTAAACTGAATTGAAAATGAACTGTATATATATATATATATATGAACTATTATATATTATTCTGAACTTTAAATGCACACCACAAAACCACCACAGATGTAACAATGACCTCTTCCCATTGTTTATTTTCCCAGTTTTATGGTCACACTTAGAATAATTATATCTGTCATCCATAATAAATTATTCATACGCTGCAGCAGACTCGCCATATTCCTACTGTTAGCCCCGTGTATTAGGTTTGCAGCCATTCCCTAAGAGGACAGACCACATCTCCTCATCCAAAGTAGAAACAAACGACACACTAGATGTCACTAGTGCTGCTTGATTGAGACGATTTTCTTACCACAAGATAGAAGTACGAACAAAATAAGAACAAAACATATCAGTGATTTACATTCTAATATAATTTATGTACTTTAACCTGTATACATTTCATTCAATTTACATATTAATGTTCTGGATGTTTTTTAAATCAGAACAAAAATATTTTTAAAAAAATGTCATCAACACAATCACAGAAACCATAGATGCGGTAAAAATATACCGTCATTTAGACATAATGCCACAAAATAAATACAAGGTTCCGTACTTCTTTTAAAATACTACTAGTTGCCATATGTACCCTGAAATAGGCTATATACCTCACTCTGTTTTCCTTAAGCTCCATTACAAACTGCAGCCAGGTCTTGCTTTGCTGGAACTTTGCTAATTTGATCAGAATAACAAAAAAAGTTAAATATCACAGAACATACACTTGCCTCATTGCATAAAAAAATTAAAACAAAAAACTGCATGTGCGTTGCATTTGATTTTCATAATTATTCCTCAGAGGCAGAGTAGAAGTGACCGCTCATATATAAATTGGCAAGTGTTTTTCAGTTGCAGTTGTTACTCTGAGTTATTAATTTAACAGCAGTGGAAGAGTCTAATGAAACGATGGGCTGCATGTTTTTTTTCTTCTACGCCTCCATTGTCTTGCCATAATGGACACATGGTCAGTCTGGGTAACACTGGCAGCTAAAGTAAAAACCCAGAAATCAGAAAACATTGAATATGGCAAAAATTAACGGGCATTTTCCCTGCTGCGTGAAACTTACACACACACTTAAATATATAACAAATATACAAATATATATATAACAGAACAACCACTGTAAAGAGTGGTAATAGTAGGCCCGTTCCATGAATCATATCAAATATTATATTATATTAGTATATTATTGCGAAAATATCAAACACATTGCACACCATGTTTAATGAATACCTTTCAATTTTAGTGAACGTCATGTTCGAAAAAGCGCCTAACAAATTTTTTTTGACCACGCCTGTCCTTCGCCAAGGTAACACGGTGAGGGGATAGGATTTTTCTCTGGGACACAATTACCAGGGCTGTGGCTGGGGTTCAATCCTCGCTAAAAGGCCCGCCATTTTGTCCCCTGTGCGGCCTGCCAAAGAGGGGCTGCAGCGTAGCGCCTGACCCCGCTGATTAGATATGTTATAGGTGGTGTTGTGGTGTCGTGACGGCTGTAAACGTAGCGACTGAGTGGTAAGTGTCAGGCTCGGTGTGATGGCCAATCATCAATCATCTCCTGTCAGGCTCCCTCTTCCAGTCAATGAGCAGCCTTTATTTAAAGGGGAGCAGGAATGCTGCCACACCGCAGGAACAAGCCCGGAGTTGTTTGCAGGTGCTATCATTCACAGCTGCCAATTAAACTCATGCTATTTCCATAATAGCCAAGGGGCAGAGTAAACACTGTATGCATGTGTGTATGTGAGTGTGTAGTGAAAGAGAGAAGGGACAAAATTAAAGCGTGTGTCCCTTGTTTTCTGTGACAACCCCTACAAGCCAACATAGATCAAAAAACAGACATGTGGGCAAATCACAGTAAGTAAACAGTATGTGCATCTGTCACTGTAGTACATCCTATAAAAGTGACAGACAATTTAATAATAGACAAAACACTATTACAATAATAGTATAAAACAAACAAAAGCAAATGTCAAATTTAAAATCAACAAACATCTAATTGAGATAAAGAAAATTAATCATTGCTATGTCTTCACAAAAATACAAATTGTAAAAAAAAAAATAAGAAATTGCAGTATTGTGACATTAAAGAGGCATTGTGATTTAACAGTATAATTAACTCTGCTCCAACTCAGAGATTATGTTCCTCCATTGGAAAATATTATATTTTATAGGATTGTGGGGATATAAAAACTACTATGTATAATTTTACACAATAATATACAAATATACTGTTATATGATATGCTGAATATTACATTTATCTTCCAACCACTTACGTAGTATTGAGTCATGGGGTATTTATATGAACCGAAACATTAGTTTTTTGTACCTCTGTAAATGAAAATACATTAAATACATTTTTTTTTTCTTTTTTTGAGGTACAAGGTTCTGCTTGTTTATTAAGAATATATTATTCTAAATTCACTCCTGCTGCTTGACTGAGTTTGCTTACTTTTGTTCGACAGCATAGCTAAGCATTTTAAACGGCTTAACCTTCCCTGTTCAGTTGCACAAAATAACAGAATCAAACAAAACCACTGTGCTAATCACACAAAATAAAAACAAGTTTAAACCAACATCAGCTTCAGCTGGCTTTAAGCTTACGTAACTACATGCACAACATTTCATGGCATTAATAAATTTATCTAAAAAGAATGGGTGCAGATGTACAAGATAAAATTACTTTTGATGTGGGCAAGAAAACAAATACATTTGTTTAAGGGCAAATTACATTTTTTTCAGTTGCTGTTCAACCGATTTAACCATAGTCGAATATTTAATGAATTGAAAATTAACACCTTTCTCTCTGATTAGTCAATAAAATTTTGCCACATTTATTTTTAAGAATGATAAAGAAAGCTACAAGTAGCACTAATAATCATGGGTAACAATCACTACAGGTTTCCTAGACCACAAATATGTGATTCAAAGCTGCATCTGGATCCTGCTGCATAATTAGACATGAGTATAATGTCTGCAGGTGAGAATTCTTGGGAAGGTCCACAAGACCTCCGTGAGGCGTAGAGCAACGCTAACGGCAAAAGCAGCCAATGATGGGCTTTCCTTTAAAACAGGCAGCCCACTCCCTATTTCCTGTGCATTTTTATTTCACATATAGTGTATAGTGTGATGGCTAAAACAGAGGTTTACCAGCATCATTTCAGGGATAAGATTGTCTCCTGAGCATGTTTGCACTTACGCTACATTTCATTGACTACTCTATAAAGCTTACAAATAAAGCTAATAGTATATGTGTACACAAGCTATCATTTCTGTCCGTGGATAATAACGTCTGTGTTCCAGAGACCAGAAACTACCTGCCTATTCTGGTCACCCAGTGGAGGAGGACCCAAGAGTCCCTACATTACTGACAGTGGCATATAGATGATGAGGAGGGGAGTGGAAGGCAAGCCCCACCAACGACCTATCAGCAGCTCAATCTCCTTGACGTCTAGGTGACCATCATCCAGACCTTAGCTCCAAGACACACCGTATGCTGGCTGAGCTAAATTACCCGAAACGGAGCGGAAATGGTGCAAGTGCATGACTAAGACCCAGCTGACAGCATAGCAAGTCCTCCTCAAGGCGACAGTCTTCCAAAACAAACCCAGAACTGTTGCTAACCAGCCCCCCCCCAAAAAGCCTCGAATTTCTCCTCTCCCCTCATGCCCCACCTTGTCTCTCACTACCAGAGACTTTGCCAATATGGTGGCTTTTATCAGCAACATATTTGGCCTAACTTACTTTCGCTTCATGTCCCCCTTTCTCATTACGTTCCTTTCCAAGTGCATTCGCATGAAACTTCTCGAGAACATTGTCCGTGGATCTGAATGTAGAGAACAATCAGTTCCCTGTGCCCTATTCCTTTCTGAAACATAACAGCAAACTATTTCCAGAAAGACAACAACCCACAACTGCACATCATCTTCTTCAGAGGTGTGTTTCATGGACGTTTGAGCCCCTTCTCATGTTCATTTGTGTATGGAAGCTCAATCGCATTCCGGATGATTCTGCCTGTCCGGATCACTTCCTTTGCCCCTAAGTGGATCTATTGCCCGACGTCTGCAAAATGTCACTCAGAGTGTTCAAGTGAAACGTTGTTTGTGTGGACTGGAACAGGCCTATGTATTTATAAACTTTTACAGCACGGATGCTCTGCCGTATTGGGGATCTGATTATGCTTTTTTTATAACCACATTTCCAGTGCAAGGTTGTGGTGAACCTGGAGTCTATCAGAGGAAGCCCAGTTCACAAGGCAGACGGACACTTATGACAGGAAACCAGTTCACCACAGGGCACACACACGCTGACACACCCATGGAGACACTACAAACTTGGACAAATTTAGAGACACCAGCCTACTAACATATTCACATAGTCATTTGTGCAATCAGTACTGGACACAAGATAATAGTTACTTGTGGAGAAAATGAAACTAAAAAAGGACTTTTATAATATTCCTCCAGGCATTCCTACCCTTTCTGCAAACATAATCTTTAGCACAAACAGTATATAATGTCACTAGTTAAGGTATAATTTATTGTACATCACTTAAATCAAGAAAAAGTGAAATTGCAGTTTGCTGTAATTGAAATGTTATGAATTCCAACATGATCACATGCCTGGCAACCTCACTGAGACTAGCAGCCATCGTCTACAGCCAGGTCACAGTGCTCTGGGGCCTTCGGTAAGCCTGACAATCTTCATGCCGGCTCTGAAACATTGTAGATTCTTCTGCGACCCTCTATGCTTTGCTGTGTCATTGGTGATATTTGTTTGCTATGCTTTGTTATTACTTCATCTATTAACAGAAATTAGTTTTCATTTAAGGCAGCGTTTCTTAACCTGGTCCTCGGGGACCCCCAGACGTGGACTGTGGCATAGAGCTGGGAGCAAAGACGTGGACTGTGGCATAGAGCTGGGAGCAAAGACGTGGACGGTCTGGGGGTATTTGAGGACTGGTTTGAGAAACATTGACTTAACGTGACTGACATTCTGTATAGGCAGGGGAAACAAATCAAACATTTTAGTACCACATTTGCCATACTGTCCCATCTAATGAGATCTGGCAAAAGACACTTCACTGGACAAGCCAAAGACAATTTACATAAACAAATGGACAACTGCCACTAACGAAAAAAGCAGTGTCATTATCATTGCTGTTTTGACGGCAACCTGCAGATGTATTAACAAACCATGCAATGGCAATGACTATCAAACAGAATCATTCTTATCAATACTTTGATATCAAAGTCTAAGTATTAAACAAAATGAATAATGTAATCATTATCCAAAGTGTGTCTGATTTTCATTAAACAAACTTTTCAGGGTTACCTCAAGTCATATAGAAGAAACTCGAAAAACATGAAGAAATTAACTTGGTATGTATAACATGAGTTCATTTCTACAGCTTACAGGATTACAAGAAAAAAAATACTACACATATTACTACAAAACATCATCAGCTAAAAATAAAAAAAGGAAGCTTTGCTTTGCACGTGAAAAGACCGTGTTGTGGCCAGGCACGTTACACATTTTCACATAAATACGTCGGACATCACGTACTGTATACACTGCATTATATTCAGCCCTCCGTGACATCTGTACGTAACCATAAACATCACGCGGTTAATTTCTGTAAAAGCTACAGCGCTGTGATGTCAGTTTAGATGAAACTGTCATGCCTTCTGCTGTTAATATATCAGACCTGAGAAGATCCTAACTGGAGCTTACTAAGGCTCTGGTGACCGGGGGCCGTCACCGGCCTGATCACAACATCTCCACGGTCTTTTATTTAAGGTGTTATATATAGGCGTACACGGCGTACTTCAAGCAATTACTTCAGAGTCCAGAACCCATCACGTTATACACAGGGAAACAGGTCAAGTGCATGCAGTCAGGATAAGGCACTGCAGGCTAATGCATGCAGACAGAGTCATACAGCAAGGGCAAGTTACAGCTGTGCACGAATGGATTTCTGAGAAAAAGAAGACTATTATGTTTGTTATAGTCTATCGACTGCAGGTTGGAGCCCTGGGAAGAGCTCCTCTGTGAGGCCCTTATGTTAGGTTCTCCCTAAACTCCCATAAATGCTCCAGCTATATAAATAAAATACATTAAGTTGCTCTGAATAAAAGCATCAGTGAGGCAACTGGGTTTAACTGTATTTGCTCCTTCGCAATCCTGCATCCTTCTGATGTATAGTGTCAATCAGATATTATGGATCCACAGTGAATGTTGCTGACCGCATTCGCTTCAAATAAATGTTGCAATTCAAGTAAAAAAGCATTACCATTGTTTAATAAAGAATGTATTAGAGGACTGTGAGAGCCATTCGCTGCGTAATCGACACACTCATCTGCTCAAACAAAATCACACTCCCTCCACCACTGTGATTAACACTCACTTCTGTGCAAAACTTTTACACAACAAAAAAACATCACAAAACCAACACAGAAGACCACAATACTGTTTATGTGAAGGCAGTTAAACAGAGGACTGATTGGGAATCTCACACTTATGCAAAGCTTATCCATTATTAAAGGGGCGAGACTATCACGTTACAGTTATTAGCTTTGCTGAGGGCATTAGCAAGGAGGTGGAAAGGCATCTGAACCCAGAGGAGACTTCTGACAGACGAGATGGCAGGTGCAGGGGCTGCCAATCTGCCAAAACGGACCGGTTGCTTAACACCTTGCTTATTTTCCTTCTCCGTCGAAGGAAAACAAACGATTAGTGATTGTAATGAGGTGATCAGGAGCTGGCATGCTCAGAGAGAAAGACGGAGAGACATCTTCCATATCCTTGAGTGAGGCTGTGCGGCTCAGCTCCACAGATAAAAACAACGGGGACCACATTAACTTATTTATAAAGACTGCATTGCTGTTGCAATGACAGCTGGTGGCCACAGAAGGCGCCATTTGGTCTTCAGAAGTGCACTTAATATTTCATTTCACACCAACGCGGGCTGAGCTTCTTCAAAACCCTGGGACGCCTCTGTTTAACTGCTCTACTTAAAGCTTGAAAAATGCTCATTTTTAGGTCTCTCTCCTTGTTGAAATGGAACGGCCTCCCTCTATAAAAGAGCCGGGGGGTTCATCCCACGTTCCCCGAGCCCACCATGCATCTCTTCACTACTAGCACTCAGCTTTGAAAGCCAGTGCTGATCTGGAGGGTAAAGGGTGGACCTCTGACAGAGGGTCCTTCTCAGGTCCCAGGTAAAATAAGGACAGCAGGTCTGGAGAGCGGGCCCCTCAGGTCGGGGCCCGGGGCCTCTGAGAGGCCTGCAACCGCAGACGTCGCCGAGCCAGAGCCTGCTGCTTCTTCCTTTCGATTTCCTCCTTGGTACATTTCACAGCTACCTGGCTGGAAACGAACACTGCGGAAATAAGGACATTAATAAAGACAAATTCAGTTGGGAGGAAAAAGTAATGCAAAATGAGATGATGGCATGGTGTGCGACAGCCTTCACACCAAACTTCAAATTCTTGACTTCTTCTAGCTTGTAGGTGTATTCATTCCACTTAGGTTGATGGCTCTGCTCTACATAGCAGACAATTGTCTTGTTTAACGAAGGCTGCTAACAGAGATTTAATGAAGCCACTTATTAACCCTCTGGGGTCGACGGCATCGTCGGCGATGCTGCGTATCATTCTCTTGTATTTCAGTTCATAACTGAAGCATTAAAGTTTTTAAAATGAGGTTAAATCGGCAAAAAAGTAAACCATGTCACCTTACTTTGTTTTTACCTGCATCGGGGGCGTGTAGTACCGCTCTCACCCGAAGATCGCTATTCACATTCTAAATAGCCGCATTAGTGCGTATTCAGATCGCATTCGCATGGTAATTTGAGGAACAACGCAGCGGTGAAACGCGATCCAGATACATCCCCTTCAGCGCCATAAAAGGGGGTTGGGGACGTGGCCAGGTGACAATGGCTCATTCATACACATGAAAGTTGCTACATATTCAATGAAAGGAGCCAGAAATAGTTACAAGTTAGCTTTTTCTTATTTATTTATCCAAATTAATGTTGCATCTACACCATTTAGTCATCTTCATGTAGCCAAGACTTTGGTGATCAGATATCTGGGATCAAAACAAACTGCCAGCATTGCTTACTATGTACTTTTATAATGTTTCTGCAAGTGTTCCAAACTGCATTTTGCAATGTCTATACTTTGATGTCAAATTACAAACTTCACATAAATCTGACATATTTACAAAGTACATTAAAATAAAGATGAGTGTAATGGCAAAACAAATATATAAGAAATAATTTATTTACCATGAATTAAGTTTATGAAAGAAATGTGTGACCATGCCTCAGTCAGTGAATGTGTGTTCCCTACCCCGTGTCCCCAAAGGTTAGGGATTAGACCTACCCTTGGTAGAGAGGGCTATGGGCTCAGACAGGTGCCGCTTGAAGGAGCTCGCCCGGGGGGGTTCTGCCACGCTTCCCGTGGACGCTGGCAATGACGTCTTTTTCCCGCCCTCCTGAACGCCACCTGCAGGCCCACGGGTCGAACCTCCCACCGTAGCGCTTCTCACTTGCGTGAACTTGTACGGCCTGTTCCCGTTCCCTGAAGGACCTGTGTTCGAGGTGGTGTAACTCCTAGAGGCTGACCCAACTGCCTTGCCCTGGGATTGGTTGCTGTGGGAAGCAATGGGAGGGGCCAATGGAACAGAGGCGTTGCTTGCTGGTACTGAGAAGGAACAGGTGAAGGCACAGGGGGACTTCGGCTGCCTATGTGTGACTCGGGTCAGCTGACCATCCTCACTGCCCAGGAGGGGGATGGGATTAACTCTGCACTGTTCAGCACGTGGTAGGGAGGGGATTCCGGCACTTTGCAAAGTCTTTTCCACATCGTTACAGAGTTCATACAGCAAGTCATCATCTTCGGCGTCATCCCAAAGCGAGTCAGACGTGAAAAATGAATCCAAATCTTCATCTGGGACCTCCTGGGCACAGCCCAGGCCCATACTGGCTGGCCTTTCTGAGGTCAAGCAGCTTTGGCCTACCAGCGTCTGGTCTCCGGCCCGGACTGACGGCATGGGGCGGGAGCTGTTCAAGGTCGCCAAGGTCTCTCTGACACCAAACGACCTCAGTGGTGCCCTCTCCTGCTGCTTATCAGGAATGTGCTGGGTCATTTTGTCACCTTGGTGCCTGGTTGCCATGGAAACATGGCTTGGACAAAAACTGCTTTGAGTCTCTACCTCAGGTACCCCACCACTGGTGGAACGGCCCTTCATGAATGTTCCAGAAAGTGTTCCTTGTGGCTGGAAATGGGGGTTCCCCTCCAATTTGAAAGTTATTCTGTTTCTGACCTTTACATTCTTCCCTGGAAAAATCAGAGCGGAGCCAATGCTGCTGACATCTCCTCCCGGGTTAGGCTTAGGGTTAGGCTTAGGGTTAGGCTTGTCAGAGTCTGCAATGCGGTCAGCAGTGGATGACTGGACCGATTTAACCTGCTCACCCTTTTTCTCACTCTGGTCTGTCTGCGTCGAGCACTGCTTGGGAGCTACGGCAAGCGGCGGGTTTAGTGTCATCTCAAGCACAAACGAGTCGTTGAGTAAATCGTCATCCCAGTCATCATCGAAGTCCTGACTCACCTTGGGAACCTTGTTTGTATTATCAGCAGACACTAAGGGAAGGTTACTGGTAACAGAATTAACCGCCTTTTCAACAGATGGCCCGGGAGGGGTCAGTATCATCTCCTGTGATTGGACGGGTGTGTTCGGGGTCAGCACCTCACTGAGGGGCTGAGTTGACCTATCAAAAAGCACGTCCAGGCTCTCCTCGGATTCCAGTCTGGGCTCTTCGTGCTCCTGAGGCATCTGTTGGGCAATGTTAGTGTTCCTGGGGGCCGTCCCCTCGCCGGTGCTCCCCGGTTTATTCAGCAAGATGGGTGGGTCGATTTCACCGTCTCTCAGAGTCCCGGCGTCGCCCGTGTCTGTCTCCGCGGCCCGTGGATCAACCTCTTTTGCCTGCTCCTTTTCTTGCTGAATCATATTAATGTCAAACTGCTTGGCTAGCTTCCTAAGGTCCTCCACACCATTCTGCCTGTAGGAGAAACATGGATGTGTGAAGTCAAGTCTAAACATTTACCTTAAAAATAACAAAAGATACCTAAGGACTGGAATACTACATTCCCAAGCAGAGTTTAACAATGTAGCAGGATATATCACAATGAAAACATATGACGATATACACTGTAGGGGTCTAACAATGCACCGTGGCACTTCGCTGTGACACAAATCATTTATTAATGTTAATGCAACAGGGTGCAATAGGCATAACTTCCAATTTTAGTTTTGCATTTTGCACTGGAGTCTGGAGAATAAGGAAAAAAAAAAACAAGAAAACAAAATGGTTTGACAACAACTTTTCTGTAAATGTACATGTCTAAAAAGGAACAAATAAGACTTTTGAGATCCAGGTTTGTTTTCTACTACATTTTGTAGAATATATTGTAAATGTATTAAGCCATGCGTCCCAAATTGTCTAGAAAACCAAATCACGTAGATTGCATCGTTACACCCGTACTCCCAGGACAATCTGAAGCTTGTTAAATAAAATATCACTTGGGAAAATTATAAAAATGTAACACTAATGGAGGAAACAACAGAGAAATATTTTGAAATATTTACAATTAGCAGGTACTTTGGCTCACATCTGTGGAGTGAAATCAGGCTCCACCCCTTTGTTTGCATGAACAGTCTGAAGACAGAAGAATTCGGGTAGTTTGGGGAATGAGCATAAAGTGTGTCTTTGGGTTGCTGTGAAAAAGTATTACACCTTGCGCTGTTTAAAGTGGGCTCAGTATCACTGTGATCCTAAGTGGATAAGACATTTCTGAAAATGGAGAGATGCTTTCTGAATGTTTTATCTATTAACTATAGTAGACACTGGAAACGTCGTCTACAAAATGCAGCACTGAGGCCAATGTGGTTTTAAAGATTAATTATGTGCCATCCATCACCGTAACCACTTAATCCCAACTGGGGTTGCGGGGGGGGAGAGAATCGGAGCCTATCCCAGGAATCACGGGCGCAGGCGGAACCAACCCCGGGCAGTCACAACACACCGCAGGGCACACACACTCACACAATTACAGGCCATCTTCTTCTGCACGCTTTTGGACCGTGGGAGGAAACCCATGCGAACACGGGGAGAGCATGCAAACGCCACACAGAAAGGTCCTACGCCCAACCCCGGAATCGAACCCGGGACCTTCTTGCTGTGAGGCAGCAGCGCTAACCACTGTGCCACCGTGCCGCCCTCAAACATACAATATGAAATTCAAGACATAAGAATGAAATGACCTTGTGGATTTCTTCCGGGTCCGCTGGTACCTGACATCAGGAGTACATGGAATAGCACTGTCTCCAATCCACTGGAGTAAGTTACATTCAGAAGCGCTCGGCCTCTCACCCTAAAGAAAACATCCAGGTTAGCGTCCAAATGCAGTGCAACAAAGACAAAAATGTCATATAAAATGAAACTGGGACACTAGGAACACACCATTCAAAGTCAATTGAAATATTGTTACAAACCACGGGAGCTATCCGACTGACGATTTCTGAAATGTCCACAACCTTTCTGGATGATTTAGCAGCCCGTTTACCTGTATGGATAAAAAAAAACAAGCTTACCAAATTAAACAGGCACTGTGAAGGAAAAAATAATTAATCAACAGCATTCATTTTTTAAAGAACTGGGAAAGTCAAAGTGCATCAAAAAAAAGGTGGATCAAATACATATTGAAGTATGAGAAGTCATGTTTAAGACTGTATTATAACACAAATACAAACATAAATACTGACCATTCCGGACAGGTGTAGGTGAGGTGGCATCCCATATGATATCCTCTATGTCATGATTTGGAGAGTCTGCACTGCTCAAACCGTTAAGCCTGATTTGTGTGCGTCTTTTCGGAGTCTTCAAGTCTGACAAGGGACAAGAAGTAACTTTAGCATCTGGAGCCAGACAGAAGCAGAAAGGGCCATGCTATGTACAGGGCTGCGACAAGAACTTCCATGAACTTAAATTTTGTCAGGCTGCTGTGATAGGCAAGGCAGCCATGGGATGAACCTTGGAGATTTGCTTCAGTGGGCTCTGCATATAGGGTCCCAGTCCATAAAGCCGACCCATCTAAGACCAGTAAAACTGACTGGAATTGAAAAGTATAATGCGTCACCAGGGTTCAGTTACAAAACAAGTGAAGACCATCAAATCAACATGCATGAGTTGAAGGCGAGATAGAAAGCTGACTGAAAATATACGCGGGGAACGTCTAACGGGGACAGTGAATTGTGCATTGTACATACATTACCTGAACGCAAAATCTGCTAAATATGGGATTACTTCGAAGATTAGAAAGTATCATACAGGCTGGCAACTCTACACATCTAAAAAAAATAATAATAACTTTCGGGTGTATAAAAGGAATAACGTTCATCGACCGCTTTTAAATAACCGGCTGGATAGCAATACAATGGGTCAGTGCACCTGGCTGTTACTGTGAACTGCTGTCAGAAGTTTACCGTTAGCTGGAACTTGGATGCCTCTTGCTCTTACCGTTTTTATAGTTAAATGACGATTCGAGGGAGGGTGACTGCTGTGTTTGTCTCAGAGACCTGCTCAACTTGTTGCTTTTTGCTTTATTTTGAGAGAGCCTGGACATCCGCTGCGTTTCACGTTCGTCTAAACGGGGGCGACTTGGAGAGGCACAGTGCTTTCTCCTTCCACTCATAGCTATTCCTTTATAATTTCAAACCACAACATTATGGTTAAAGTTGATTTCCCCACTGTGTCACTAAAAGACGCAGTTAATAACCTTAGAGTAAAATCCGAATTCTACTGCCGCCGTTTGAATGTCCGCCATGTTGCTGCAACGTTTCCTCTGTATCTCATTAGTTGAACTGCCGGCTCGGCGACTCTGATTGGTTGCTGTAAATCACGAATTATCTCGCGGTCTCTCTGGTCACGACGCGACGTATTAGCGTATTTTTTTTCAGTTGTCATGGTGGGTGCTATAGCCGATAGTTATAATTGTATGAAATTGTGTGTTTCTCCTTAAGATTAAACACAACTGCTATGTGACTGTTATAAAGTAATCCAAGTATAACATATAACTGGTGATAGTAAATTTAAAAACAGCACCTATATTGTCAAATGCAAAAATAGCAAAAATATTAATAATGATACGTCATAGTATTATTTTATTGGTCAAACAATTCATTTTAATAATACATATTAGCATAATTTACGTTAATTTATAATATAATATAATATAATAATAATATAGTTAATTTGAAATTAAAATTATTTTTAAGGTGTTCTATGGACCAACCCACAATGCAGCTGGAGTTCAAAATATTTCCATCCATCCATCCATCCATCCATTTTTGGAAATCACTTGTCCTATTCAGGGTCACAGGAGGTCGGGAGCCCATCCTGGAGGCTACGGGCACAGGCAGGGAACAACCCAGGACGGGGAGCCAACCCATCGCAGGTTCAAAATATTTATTTGTATATTTTTAATTCTTAGAATTCCTTTTAAGACAATTCTCATTACAGTCAAAACAGCAATATTGGTAAGCCTGTCGATAGTGTTAATATAGCCCATAATACTCTGAAATAGTATAATAATTTAAGCCACAATCCTCACTGGAAAAATTTAAAAAGATTTAAAAATGCTTGTTTAGCCACATTTTACATTTTTCTTTTTTTCAAAAACCTGTGCTGGGAAGCACTCTTCTGTTTGTTGAGGGAGCGCAGCAGCCTCTGTTTACGTTTGATGGCGTTCGGTCTTTTCCATCTGCTGTACTGAGTGTCGTGAGACTAAACCAAAAACTAAGTGTGGCAGATTTGGAGGATCAGAGCGGGATCAGAGTTAATTCCCAAGTCGTGCAATCAGCCACTTTTAATGTGGTTTCTCTAATCATGCCCAGTAAAAACACACTTCAGGAGATCTTCTATTTCAGAACTTTACTGTGTGAAAGACAGCTAAATGGGGCTGACCTGGTGCTATGCTGGGCAGCCCTGTGGCCTTGCGGTAAACCTCCACGGTTTTGGTTTAGCCATGCCATGTTCATATGGGCTAACCCAGGTACTCCAGTTTCCTCCCACCATCCAGAAATAGTGGTCTGGCAAGTCCCACCCATTCCTCCATCCATTTTCCAGCTGCTTATCCAGTAGAGGGTCTAGTAGGTTCCTGCCTACAGCCAGGGGTATACCTAGAAATTCTGGGCCCCCCCAACAAAATGTCACCTTGGGCACTTCCAACCAATTTCATCTATTCAAGTGCCTCTGTCAAGTGCTGGGCCCCCTGAACCTGCCAGGGCATCCATGTCCCTATTGCGCCCCTGCCTAGGGCTTAAGGCAGGGCTACACCCTCATGAAACCTGCTCAAAAACATGGGGAAAACATGAAAGCTCCATAGACACAGAGCTGGGCTGGGATTTACATCTTCACCCATGGTGCCACTCTGCTTCCTGGTTAAGCAAATTGATGTCCTTTAGTTGCCCTTTGTGTGTGTGAGCCTTGAGAATGACAGGCATCCCGTCCAGAGTGTCCCCTGCCTTGTCCCCTGTGATGGACTGGCATCCCGTCCAGAGTGTCCCCTGCCTTGTCCCCTGTGATGGACTGGCCTCCCGTCCAGAGTGTCCCCTGCCTTGTCCCCTGTGATGGACTGGCATCCCGTCCAGAGTGTCCCCTGCCTTGTCCTCTGTGATGGACTGGCCTCCCGTCCAGAGTGTGCCCTGCTTGTGTCGTGCTTACTGGGAGATCCAGCTGGCTCTATGTGAAACTGTACTGGATGAGTAGTTATGGAACATGGGTGGATCACCTTAAAGCAATCAAGAGCGATGCACTACCCAAAAGCTATAAGCATCCTTACCCTTCTTCACTATTATTTGATTGAAAATGAGAATATAATGAACACGTAAGCATTGAAAATGGTTATATAAGTTTTGATGATTTTTTTTTATATCAGCAAAAACAGTACAATATGTTTCATAAAGTATCCATCTGCCTCTGACATTTTTTTTAATATAATGTGTCAAAAATGTAATGTGAACAAATCTGGTCCTGGCGTGCATAAATTCCCAGAGTCATGTAAAAAAAATGGATTTGAAAAATCTACATGACAAATAGCAGAAAGTGCTGAGGCAGCTGAGAGTGGCTGAGTGGCTGCTCTGGCACGGATACCCGATTTGCCGTGGCGGAGCAGAGCAGACGTTTAGAGGGGGGAGATTGGGCGCATTTCCCCACGCCTGCGAGCTTTGCCTGAACAAAGCACTAGATGGTGCCTACATTCCTCTTTTGTTCAGAAACTGGGAGTGCAGTGTGAACTGATGTCAAAACCGTCTATCTGCAGGTGGTGAAGGAACAGAGATGCGAGCAGGAAAGAGTATGATGAAGTATGCAGTCCTCCATGGTTATAATCAGAGGAACCCAAAGGCAGACCCATTAAGAGCTGATTAGAGGACGAACATCGTGATTATTTGTCATTTTGTTATAGTATTATTCTGTAATATATAGTATTATTCAGTATAGTATTCTTCAGTAATGTATAGTATTATTCAGTAATGTATAGTATTATTCAGTAATATTTAGTATTATTCTATAATATATAGCATTATTCAGTATAGTATTCAGTAATGTGTAGTATTATTCAGTAATGTATAGTATTATTTGGTAATGCACTGTTTATACAAATATTTACAGCAGTAATAGTGCTGGTGACACCTCTTCAAATTTCTATTTGCTGCCAAATGAAAAAATATTGAATGATTTTATCACTGTTGTGCTTCCCGGCTCTGTCAAGCAAGGTGTAGTCTAAGGGAGGAGGTCAGTAGCCACCCACGCTGGGCGCTGGTGTTCTGCGGGGGTCATGTCTGAATTTCTGTCATCCCTCGGTGAAAATGCCAAATGCCACCCAGACGCAGGACATCAATGCCATCAGTGGGTAGATAGTCCCTGTGATGCCACCATCGTTTATTAGTTCCAATTAAGGAGCTAGCCGTAGAGATCGCGGAGCATCGTAAAAGTAGCTAATGCGTCGCTAATTACGACAGCGGCTGCTGGCGTTTATGGAGATCCCAGTGGCCGGCGATGCTGGGGACTGACGGTGTTTTTCTCCGATCCCGTGTCTGCCCACAGGGTGTGCCCAGCCAACTCTGCTACATGGACCCCTACACAGACACGGTGAGCGTCGTTAGGGGAGGTAATTATCACCTCAGAGGGCTTTTCGTTTCGTTTGTTTTGTTTTTTTATCGGAGGGCCCCCTCAGCCGGGTGGCGCCCGGCGTGTGTGACAGCTAGCATGCGGCAGGTTTCCGTGTGGTGGACTGCATCCAGAAGGCAGTGCGCCAGAGCACCGGGGAAGGAGGCAAGCGGCGTGCGTGTAGAAAAAGGAAAGAAAACACCTTGCTGTCAGCGCGTCTGGCTGCGAGGGAGAACGAAAACACCCTCCCGGCCTCGCGTGGGTGCCCGAGCGCCCAGCGTCTGCCATACTGTGAAGCAGAATGCATTCTCAGAACGGCGTCCTCCGCTGGCAGGTGGCGCGCTGCAGAACTCTACACTGCCCCACAAAGGCAAAACCTCGTAACTGCACATTTTATAAAAACTAAATTATGACCTAAAATGGGTCTCTTGAGGTCTCATTTTTCGTGTGACAGAATATCAGTTTTGAAGAAAACACTGTCATATACCTACCTACTATATAAAAAACTCTCAAGCCCATTTCTTCACTTTCAGCATCAGCATAGTCATTGCGTTCGGCCTTTGCATGGCAGTACGGTCCTCCTGTGCTGGGATGCTGCCTGTCGCTACAGACTCTCTTACCACATGGCAGGCATTAGCAAGAAGGAGAGAGAAAGAGGGACAAATATTCCCTCACATCCAGCTTCTGACACCTGGGGCATGGTGATGACTCTTCGGCTCATTCTGTCTGTGCTGCTGTTTAGTCTGCGTTTAAGGGTGGGTGGAGGCGTCATCGCTGGGCCACGGCTGGTGATGCTGTAGTTCTAGCAAGGCAGACGGAGCAGCCATGGTGACGCGACTGGCCCGCGCTCATTAATCTGCCCGCCGAAATGGCCGTGTGGCGGTTTGACTGCTCATTTATTTTGTTTATAATGGCAAACTCGGTGATAAATGTCCCACAGAATGCACATGTGCTGAAATATTCATCAGCTCAAACTCTTCATTTGTAAAAAGAGAAAACCAATAAATTAAAACCCAGTCACATCATGTTATTTTATATATTATATATACACACACAAATAGAGAGTGGTGGAGATAAGGCACCCAGAATAAACCATTACGTGTTAAAAATGCATGTATAAATCAGGTAAAGTTCTGACATTACTGCACAGGAAAAACAATAGTCACATGACTTTAAAAGGATGTAAAAAAGACACACATAACACCAGCTGCACCAAAGTGGCCGGAGCACACGTCAAACAGCTTGACGTGTTCACAGCTGGAGCAGGCTCTGTGTCAGCCATATATGGACAATAGGTTCACATTATATTAATTCTTCCTCAGTATTTTCCACTTGCATTATTTCTTTAAATATTTCAAAACATTTTTTTCAATAAATATTGTCTTTGACTGTATACAATGTTGTTTATTAGATGAGAATTTTAACACACACATTTAATTGCATGTGACATGTCATTAACGCTGCTTAAAAAATAAATAAATATATATATATATATATATATAAAATGAATCATAACTATGATAATCATCGAGGCGGGCAGTAGCTTGGAAATGAGGTTGATGATTCTGAAAGCCATAAAGATGGCCACAACATCCATACGTTTTCCATGACTGCTTATCTAGCTTTGGAATCTGTCCCAGAAGGCACAGGGCTGTCAGTCCTTTACCTTGATTCACATCTCTATACACATCATGT